TCTCACTTTCCATGTCAATGTTGTCCCTGCCCATATCGTTGCTTCTCATTTCTATCTACCCTCCTCTAACTATCTATGCCTGAGTGGCATAAGCGCCAGTGTGCACAGCACTGTGTCGGTGGGAGACACTCTCCTATAGACATAACGCAGCTACACAAGTACTCTTACAGCGGCACCACTGTATTGATTCAATGGTGCCGCTGTAAGCATGTATGTGTAGGCATGGCCTTAGTTTGTACTGACATTGGTAGTGTTTTTATGTAGCCTGTTGTAAAACTAGGCAAATATCTGGATGAGTTTATGTACCCCCTGGAACACCTCTGCGTACCCCATGGGGTACCCGTACCCCTGGTTGAGAATCACAGATCTATACTCTTCCCAAGGCTCCCAACTAAAGACCCCATATGTATTTCCCACTCTTGTACCTTCTTCGTAGTGCCACCTCTGCCTGGAGCTCCCTCTCTTTGTGCCCTGAATGACCTCCCTTCCCCTACTAATCCCTTCACAAAAAACACATCTTCTTCGACCCCAGTGAGTGTGGTTAACTTCAAGCTGTGCAGGTAATGCTTGCAGCTTCAACCCAAGTGTCTCATAGGTTTGAACAATATTGTCTTGTGTCTGGTCTAAATAAGCTTCTTGAGACAGAGATGGTGTCATCTTCTCTTTGTAGAAAAGCATAGCATACAAAATAATGGCTCATATCCTGAAGTCATTACTCAGGCAAAATCTGTTTTATCTTCAATAGGACTTTTCCTTCCTCGGGATCTGGCTTATTGAAAACTAATATTTTAAAGGGGGAGGGATAACTCAGTGGTTTGAGCATCAGCATGCTAAACCCAAGGTTGTGAGTTCAACTCTTGAGGGGGCCATTTAGGGATCTTGGGGCAAAAATCTGTCTGGGGATTGGTCCTGCTTTGAGCAGGGGGGTTGGACTAAATGACCTCCTGAGGTCCCTTTCAACCCTGATATTCTGTGATCCAATTGGCCTTTGCCATCTCCAGCTTCACTGATCCTAGTTCCAGTGCTTCATTATAAAGCCATTAGGCTGGGTTTTATAAAGGAGCCTAAGGAAGTCAGCCACTGAACTTCATTGGAAATTGAATGCCTAATTCACATAGGCTCCTTTGTAAATCCCAGCCTAGATGCTGACATTCTGGTTTGCTTCAGAGGCCCTGCAAGTCAGATTTGGGGATGATTTGCCTTGATTTGGGTTTTACATCTGAAAAACTCACACCTTGATAATTCCCAGCATTAAGAGGACAGGGGGGAAATGGAGGCTAATCCCAAGGGAAATAGAAACTATGGTCTTCATGCTTGTTTGACCTGTATTTTGCTGTGCACTGAGTCATATCCAGCTGGTTCAGTTTTCCTCGTCAGCAAGGCAGTGAAATTTAAAGCTATAGATCCAAAAGACAAAATTATTAACAGCTTAGAAATATCCAGTTGGGAGGTTTATGAAGGATTGATATGAGCAAATGTATATTGTACCAACTTTAATGTACCCAGGTAGTCTGAAAATAAGTCTTGATAATTTATCCAAAGTCCGGTAGGTAGTTTTAAAAATGTCCTGATGATATTTCCAAAATCCTCTAGAAAATCAATAAGAAAGTATTGTTCATTTGCAGATGGTTTTTCTGTTTGCAGATATTTACACTACAAGATATTTTTGGTTATAAAAGTCTAATATTGCCAGTAAACTGGTATATGTTTATATACATGACCTCTGCCAGCCAAGCACAGGTTAATAATAAAATCAGGATTTATAGTTTTGCAACAAAGGAAGACATTCTTTGAAAATGTACTAAAACATTTGGGATAATGATTTCTGGGAAAAGATTATTATGGTGTGTAGTACACCGAGTGAAAAGGAATCGCTAGTTTCTAGAAAATCCATGCTGATAAATCCTGACTTTCCTCTACATAAATAAATATTTTTGCATCAGTTTATGTAATGATTTCCTCTCTTTATGATTTTGTGATTGCTCTGTTCAATATATACTTGTAAATGCTAGAAATGAGCTTGAGACAAAACCCCAAATCCAAGTGCCCCTGAACTTCAAAGCTCAGATTTTGATCTGCAGCTGCATCATACTAACATTTTATTTGAGAAGAACTGGAATGACACATCAAACACTGCTCTTATATAGGAGAGATCGTTGCATTGTGATGAAAATTGCTTTCTCCTCTCCAGATCCACCAAAATAACAAGCCATTAGTTTTAGTAACTGAATCCAAGGTTGTTCTGCAGAGCAGTAACCATAGGACTACTAAGCTAGCCCTTTATAATGTCCAGGCTTGATTCTCCAGTGGACTAAGGTCCTTTTAAGTCACCCTGGTAGAATAAAGGGAGCAAAGATGACCCCTTGACTATATGCACTGTAAAGGGAATCTCCCCATCTGGCATAGAGCTGGTTTAAGGCCTATACACTGACCCTGCTCTCAGTCCTCCTCCAAAGCAACAGGCCAGAGGCAAAGAGGAAATACAGCCAGAGTACAGTGCACTCCAACTATTTTCTGCTTCCCAGGGCCTATGGGGGACCATGGTCAGCCCTAACATAAATTAGCTTAGTTCTGAGGATACTGTAGTTTACACTAGGGGCTGGACAAGCCCCAGGCTTGCTTAGTGCATGGGGATTATAAATGTGGCATAAAGCCATTTTTATTGCCCCCCACATACCCCTTTATTCATGCCCCAAGCACAGGGATAAAATGATTGAGAATCAGGTCCTCTCTCTTCATAAAAGTGCTTAGCTGTAGTTATTTTATCCATGATGGTGTTGAGTTTCTTGTTAGAGTTGTGATTAGTTTCTTGGCTTGTCTGCACTTGGCGTTTCTAACCATTAGTGTAGCTATAGCTGCCCTGGGGCAAACCCCTAGTGTAGACACATTACATCTGTGTAAACCACAGTTTATGCTATGCTTCTTACCCTGGGTTCAGATTGCACCAGTACAAGTGGAGTTTCATAGCAGTGAGATGCACCTCCTGTAAGGGTTTGCACTGGGGGAAGCTATATCAGTTGTAGTTTCACTGGTGACTAAAAACCTAAGTCTATACAAGGCCTAAAACATGGTAACATTGTAAAAGCAAAATGAAAATGAAGTGAGATTCCTGTAAACCTAGTGCTGAGTTAATCTGGTGACTGGAGAACAGGTACTTCATCTATCAACCCCAACTTCAGCCAGGAAATAATACCACCTAGTGCTTTTCATCAGTAGTGCTTTATAAAGGAGGTAAGCCTCATTTTCCCCATTTTACAGATGGGGAAATTGACACAGAGCAGTGACATGACTTGCCCAGGATTACCATATAGGCCAGTGGCCAAGCTGGGAATAGAATCAAGGTCTCCTGGGTCCCAGTCTAGTGCTTTATCCATTATGACACACATCCTAAGAGTACCTAATCAGCAATGAATTTAGAACACCACCTCTCCTTTCCACACTGGACAGCTCTCCATATAGAAGAAAATATCTCCATTGTGCCCAGATGTATGCACTGCTTGTTATTGATTGACTTGTGAGACTAATCTGTTGGCTAAGCAGTAAAATTATTAACTTCTGCTTTGTCATGGGCACATGTAGGCCATACCCAATGTAAAGTTGGTTTACTTGGTTACATATTAGCAACCTAAGCAGTAACATGTCATTGACAATCATTATCAAATGTGACAATTTAGTGCAATTACAACAGCGTTTGGCCATGTCCTTAACTTCTGTGGCCATAGATTCAAATTTTTTATTACATGAAGTTAGATAAATTGCCCTTAGTCATGTTAAGTAATAATGGCCACCACCCAATAAAAGGAGTTGGAGGAGGGAGGAGTTAACAGAACAAATGTTGCTAGTAAAGATTTAATCTTTCTGTCAAATGGTTTCACATGAAATAAGAGACCCAAGCAAAGCTATTTTTAAAGAACAAGACATATCAAGATCACGGTAAGTCTGAAAGCAGCATTGCCCTGCAATGGAATGCTATTACTAAATACAAAATCATGTATTCAAGTATTCAAGTCCAGATAGACATGGCATATTGGAAGAGAAAAGGGAATATTGATCTCAATATTAAAAGCCCGAAACAAAAAGAAGGGCCAGATTCTCCAGTTCCATGTGGTTCCTTTACATAGCTCATGTGCTGAAAGGGTTCGAATTCTGGTTGTTAGTGTCTAAAGCAGAATTCCCCTCACGGAGGAGAGCTCTCTGCTATCATGAATCCAGAAGAGGCAGCTCCTGCACCAGCGCCCCCCCCCCCTCCACACCCCCCCCCCCATCCCTCAGGAAGCAGTGTCACTGATGCAACAATCCTCCATTGGCATAAGATTCCTGAGATCCCCTCTAACTGATGCCGGGGCGGAACCAGGGAACCATAACCAGCTCTCTGAAAGCCCAATGGAGTATGGACTTGGGGGAGAATTAAGCACAGAATCTTTAAGTCCAGCAAGTTAGAATTATGAAGACACTGTGGCCCAAAATCTGTGGCCCTCAGTCATGTCTCCCATTGAAGTCACATTTGTGGCTTGACTAGTTTGCTTTTTCAGCAATCATCCAAGTTTTTATATTACCCTCATCATCATAGGAAGAATCACTTGCAGATTTTAAAGAGGTATCAAACACTAGTAGATCCAGTTGTCTGTATGTTGATGTCCATTGATGAATTACCCAGTGAAGACTTTGATGTCCTTCAAGTGTATCTTATTTACTTACTCTTCCTTCAACAAGGGAATCTGGTGTAGAATATGCATTGCAATGTACTACATACATACCTCTATAACTGTAACTAACCAATGCTTGTACCCTTTCTAAGACTATTTTTCCTTGTGAATGCTTTAATAAGAGGCTGTCTGTTAAAAAAAACATAGGAAATCATCAAATAGCATTCAAAAAGTGCAACTTTTAGATAGTGTGTTGGAGAAACCTTTGAGAAAGTGAATGACTGAGGTGTTCTTCTCCAAACCAAAGTTACTATTTTATTCACTAGTTCCTTCCCCCACAATTATTTTTCCTAGATCGCCCCGGTTTGTTGAATGTGAAGCCCATTGAAGATATACAAGACAATTTGCTGCAAGCTTTGGAGCTCCAACTAAAGCTGAATCACCCAGAATCATCACAGCTGTTTGCAAAGTTGCTTCAGAAAATGACGGACCTCAGACAGATTGTAACAGAACATGTGCAGCTGTTGCAAATAATAAAGAAAACGGAGACAGATATGAGTCTTCATCCACTCCTACAAGAAATCTACAAAGACTTGTATTAATGACCACAAAAATTCTAATCCGCTGACATAATGTACGTTCTTCAAATTGCACTATTTCTTTGAGGGAAAACATTACATACCTAAGAAATTACTGTGAAATACCATTTAAAAAAGAGAGAAAGCTTTAGTATAGTAGATGTATTTTATGCATATTGTTTATAAAGACACATTTACAATTTACTTTTAATATTAAAAATGTCTATATCATGAAATTGTTGGCAGTATTTTCAGAATTAATTTTTTAACTATCTTATTTCTTAAACAAAATTGCTTGTCCAATATGTTTAAAACGTCATTGAAGTTGGTTAACCGTGCAGTTAAATTTTCAACTTAAAAATAAAAGTCTTCTTCCTCAAACATGTCTAGAGGAAATCCAAGATACTACATCTGGTTCTATAAGTGAAACTCAAAAGTTAGCAACAAAAACAATGATTGAATCTCAGGTTATTGCAATTCTTCATGAGAACTCAAAAGACTATAGTTATACATACTGGGCCTGGTTACATCTGGACCCACTTTAAGACTCTTACACTGCCATCTCCAAATGTAAGTGACATCAGGAAACCACCAGCAGTTTACGCCATTTTTAGGAACAAGAAGCCTTTTTAGTTAACTTAGTCCAAGAGCAGTCTATGCTATGCAACTGGGGCTGAGACTTATTTCACATTATGCACCATCATCAAGCAGCATATTCAGCTCAACGTGCTATGTAAAATAGAAATAAAGTAACTTTTATGAACATCAAGCAGGGTTTGGATTTGTTCTTCAAGTCATAAACCCACAATATAATCTCCCATTGTGTTAGTTTGTCTTTCAGATGTCAGTGTTTCTTGTTGGGAACATGGAAGTTTTGAGCTGCTCATTACTCATTCATTTTGTTGTGTGTTGTCCCCAACATGTTAGGTAAGAATACACTAAGGACCAAATTCAGAGGCTAGTTTGATCAAATCTAAGGGAAGCTGCAGTAACTTGCACCTTCTTTTAGTACTTTTGCATTGAATTCACACTCCCTTAGAGTCAGGCCCAGGAATCAACATACACCCTTAAATGCCATCTGTGACATTGGTCCACAGAGGGAGTCTAGTTGATGTAAGTCTCACTGAGGGGCCAAAAGACTAGAGAGGGATGTTGCAAAAAGAGCAACTAACCGGAAGGCATATCGTAAAATAGGGAGTCGACACCAAGTGAGAATCCCTTGTTGTTTTTATTTATATATCACAAAGTATGCCTTAAACTTAGTGAGCCAAGTTCAGAGGTGATGGGTAAGTGGACCAGGAGGGGGGTATAAGTTTGTGTGTGAGTCTTCAGAGTCTAGGCCAGATCTTTACTCATGGGTGAGTTTATTAATGTCATGACTGTTCATGTTATGGGAATGAATAATCCAACAAAAAGGAAAAGAGTATTCTGCTCGCTGACAAAGAATTGTCTGAGTATAATCTATTTATAGGAAACACACTTGAAGAAAAATTATGATAAACACCTGAATATATCTTGGACTCAGCTACCATATCTCTCTCCAGGCCAATCTAATAAAAGATCAGGGTGGCAATACTTTTTGCTTTTATTGTTTCAGTACAATTTATAAATACAGCAGGCAGATAGAGGTTTTCAGAGGTTCTTGAAAAGTAAACTTCTCATCTTGGCCAATGCATATGCTCCAAATCACAGGCAAGCTTTTTTTTAAATCAGTTTTTTAGTGACTTGGGAAGTTTTATGGAAGGGGATATAATTCTAGGGGGGATTTTAATAAGGTGCTTAATTCCATTTTGGATCAATTGTATGTACACAGAGGTGTTGGGGAAGAGCAAGTGCAAATTTGTTGCATCACTTAGAAAATGAGGATCTGGGGGATGTCTGTTGGGAAATGAATCTGGATGTCAGGAACTATACATATTATTCTGCTACTCGTGGATCTTATTCCAGGATTGATATGATTTTCATTTCTAGGGTTTTGGCTAATTTGGTCAAAAAAGCTAATCTGGGAGTTATAACTTGGTCTGATCATTCTGCAGCAAGATTGGAACTCAGTAGAAAAACAAAGGGTCTGGTGGTTGAATGGAGCCTTGTTGTATCACCCCCTTATAACCATAAACTGGAAAAAAAATCAGTACTATATAAAATAAAATGATATGAGGGTTCTCTGATATGCTGGAAAAGCAGTAATGAAGGGAATACCTATAAATAAAATATACCTCAAAAAGATGAGAGCTCTTGAAGAAGATACTTTAGTTAAATAACTTTCTTTTCTGGAAGGAGACATAAATCTATAGGATCTAAAAAAATTTATAAGAAAATAACTGAAATTAGAGGGAAGATTAAACTGTTACAAACAGGTAAAGCTGAGCAAACATTTAGCTATATTAAACAAAAATATTATGAAAAGGGCAATAAAGCTGATAGGCTTTTAGACAGAAAGTTAAAACAAACAGGATACATCAGCCATCCTTCTGATTAGAAATAAAAAGGGATATTTAGTAACAGGCATCAGACAGTTTTCTGAAATGTTTGCTAACTTTTTTCTATACTTTGTATACTTCAGAACATCCAAATCCTGAATTTATAAATAGAGATTTGAGAAATATAAAAATCCTCAGGTCTCAGAGGATGATGTGGCAGCTCTTGATAGGCAAATTACTGCAGAGGAAGCTGAAGATGTAGTTAAGAATTTAAAATCCAAGAAAGCTCCAGGTCCCATTCTGGGGAGTATTATAGAGCTCTGAACAAGTGTTGGTCCCTATTTTAACTGAATTGTTTCATGGCATATTACAGAGGAGTGAGATTCCAGATTCATGAAAAGAGGCAAAAATTGTAATCATTCTAAAAGAAAGAAAAGATCTTACCAATTGTGCATCATACAGACCTATTTCTTTAATTAATGTGAATTCTAAAATGTAAGCCAAGGTGCTAGCAAACAGATTAAGTGTCATCTTGTCCAAATGTGTTCACTCAGACCAGTCTGGATTCACTGTTGGCAGGCATCTATCTGATACTATCAAAAGAACTCTGAATTAGATCTATAATGTTAATTCTAGCAATTCTTCCTGTGTGCTGCTTTCTTTGGATACTGAGAAAGCCTTTGACTGGCTGTAGTGGGAGTACCTCAGAAAGATTTTGGAAAGATTTGGTTTTGAAAATCAGTTTTTATAGAGGCATATTGATCCTCTATACTCATCCTTGAGCGTCTGTTTTGGTTAATAGTCATCAATCCCCTCCTTTTAATTTGTCTAGGAGTATGAGATAGGGTTGCCCGTTATTCCCCCTGCTGTTTGCTTTGGCAATGAAACTATTTACAATAAACGTGAGAAATAGCCTCTTGGAAAAGGGCATCAAAATGTCTTGCGGATTAGAACACAAATAGCTTTGTGTGCTGACAATGTCTTATTATATTTGCAGGATCCAGAAAACTTATTAAAAATTATAAAACAGTTGATTTTAGAACTTGGACAGGTATTAGGTTTCCAAATAAACTATGATAAATCTGAAATTTTAGGAATGAATATTCCTGAAAGGGTCAAAACAACCTGTTGTCAGCTACATAAATTTAAATGGATAAAGGAATCTTTAAAATATTTAGGAATAAGTATTGTGGAGAAACATAAATCTTTTTAAGGCAAATTACCCTCCAATGTGGAGTAAAATAATAAAAGACATATGAATGGAACAAATATTAAATTTCTTGGTGAGGTAGGGTAGCCTTGATAAAGATGAAGGTCCTTCTAAAGTTGTTGTTTTTGTTTCAGTGCAACCCTATAGCTATAGCTGGTATGGCATTAAAAACGTGGTAGAATGAGCTATTAAAATTCATATGGAAAACATAAAAAACAAAGGGTGAGTTCTAAAGTTCTGCATAAGCCTATAAAAGCAGAGTGGATTAGCTTTCCCTAACTAGGTTTATTACTATTATTATTATAATTTTATTTTATCATGCATCACAATTAAAATATGTGATCAATTGGGTTAAAAATAGACCATACAAACACTCAGTAAAACTCAAACAAGACTGGAGCCCAAATTTAGCTATTCATAGTAATTGTTGGGTTAAAAAGAAATTTACATCACCAAAATCATTCATCCAGATCACCTTAGCAGCTTTGGACAAATTTTCCCATTGATGAGTCCCTCTCCCTTAGCTACTTTCATTAATCATCGGAATTTTATCCCTAGGAATTATCAAAGTGACTATTCATTCTGGGTAAGAGCTGACATTACTCAATTCTGATAGCTGTTCCTGGTTTCGTATTTGAATCATACCAAGATATATGTAATAATATAAATAATTTCAAGATCCCATATTTTCAATATTTACAAGTCAAACATTTTATTGTGAAATCTGAATATACTTCTAACCACATTTGAGGAGTTGACCCAGGAGCAAGCTGGAACAACTTCTAAGGGCTTGTCTTCACTACGAGGGTAAATTGACTTAAATTATGCTACTCCAGCTATGTGAATAACGTAGCTGGAGTTGACGTAGCTTAGGTCAACTTACCGCAGTGTCTTCACTGCACAGCGTCGATGGGAGACACTCGCTGGTCGACTCTTCTCGGAGAGCTGGATTAACAGGGTGGACCGGAGAGTGCTCTGCCGTCGATTTAGCAGGTCTTCACTAGACCTGCTAGATCAATCCCTGCTGCATCAATTGCAGCAGCGTCAGTCTCACCATAGTGAAGACCAGCCCTGACATATATACAATTTTGATTGAAAAAGATGTTGATAAGAAAACAACCCAGATGAAAAGATGGGAGAGGGATCTGGACAAATAAATTAATCTAGATGAGTGAGTCTCTATAAGGGGAAGGGAATATACATCTTCAATTTTTGTAGTTCATAAATAATTTTTTTATAAATTATAAATTACTTTATAAATGCCATTTGACTCCAGTTAAGATCCATCATATTTTTGCTACTACAGAGGGGCTCTGTTGGAGGGGTTGCAGGGAAAAGGGGCATACTTGCATATGAGGTGTTTGAGTCCAGGAATTAGACCGTTTTGAGAGAAAATTATTGGAGAGTCATCTTATGAAAAATGCTCGCTTCCTAAAGATCACCAGACCTGCTTATTTAATGCTCCAGTAAAGGATCTGCATTTGAAATAGAACAACAAATACATTTCTTTTTTATTGTTAGCTAGACTGTGTATTGCACAGTACTGGGAAAATGTGACCCCTCCTCCTATGGAATTGTGGTATAGTAAAATACAGACTGTTCATGTAAGGGAAAAGCTTTCACACCAAATACATGAGTGGTTTTCAAACTTTTATATTGGTGACCCCTGAATTGGTGGCCTCTGAATGCGACCCTCCCCCTTATAAATTCAAAACACCTTTCTATATATTTAACACCATTATAAATCCTGGAGACAAAGCAAGGTTTGGAGTGGAGACTGACAGCTCACAACTCCCCATGTAAGAATATAAGAATGGCCCTACTGTGTCAGACCAAAGGTCCATCTAGCCCAGTATCCTGTCTTCCAACAGTGGCCAGTGCCAAGTACCCCAGAGGGAATGAACAGAATAGGTAATCATCAAGGGATCCATCCCCTGTCGCTCATTCCCAGCTTCTGGCAAACAGAGGCTAGAGCGTCTGGCAAACAGAGACTAGTCCCATCCCCCAGTTTGAGAACCCCTGAAATACATACACAAAAGAAGTCCCAAAAAGAGGATAAATATTTAGAAATTTGGTCACTCTTTCTCACATACTCAGAAGAGGAGGTCTCCTCAGCCAGCAAGACAGAATCTTTAACTG